GAGTCACAGAATTCGTTTTGGCATCGTTGGATAGAGAATTGAATAGGTCATGACCCCCATGACCCCCCCCTGGATCCGCCCTTGACCGTAATATAGATACTATTAAAGCAAGTCTATTATATACTCACTACCTGGAACGGTTACAGTAATGTTCCAGGTATTAAAACATATATCAACATATGTATGAGTTTCTTTTATAAACTGAAGTTATGTAAAATCTACGAATCGTGTGATTATCTGCAACCAAGTGTTGAAATTCAAAAGTATTCACACATACTCTAAAAATATTTTATTTAAATGTTGAGTGTTAACAGAAACTTATGATCTTATTTATTGCTCGCGAACTAGACCAACTTTTCAGTCTGTGATTAATTGATTATGCGAACACAAATATAATATCTTCCGAGGGTCGGCCCTTAATGGTAAGATTGACATAACTTATATTAGGCTAGACGTAAATATGATATCCTTTAAAATTCAGTCAGGGTCAGTAAGGGTGACAAAACTAAAGTTGAACATGCATATAGTAAATCAAATAATTTTTGCCTCAAAATGTTGCCTCCTAGTCACGTGATGTCATTAACCAATAGAAAAGTGGACTAACCGTTGTCGCCACTGATGTATAAAGGCACTGTAGTAAGACGTATCTGTAATTGACGAATTTATCTTTCAGGTTTAGAGCTGATAATCCTGGATTCTGGCTTTTCCACTGCCACTTTTTGTTCCATATAGTGATAGGTATGAATCTTATTCTACAAGTAGGTACTCACGCAGATTTGCCTCCAGTTCCACCAAATTTCCCTACTTGTGGCGACCACACGCCGCAAATTAATCCAGATCCAACTCAGATATGAAGACTTAATAGTAACGAGTTAAGTTAAGTCTTTTGAAGTTAGGAAGTTGGTGCAAATAAGAATACTATTTGATTAATAATTGATTTGTGTGCTATGGGTTGTTGCCGCGTTCTTATTTCCACCAACTAGTGTTAGAGTAAAAGTTACCAAATTGTATTAATTTTGCGAAACGCGAGTTAGTCTTGCCATTCAATAATATCTGCAAAACTTTTGTATATCTTCTGGATTATTACCATTAATTAGTTATCTAATATTTATCTGTACTGTACCAAATGGTCTTTACTGCCATATTATTTAATTTTAAGTGTCCTACCTCTTCTCTGCGTTCTATTTCACTTTTAAGTTAAATGATTGGTGCTTTTCTTTTTGAGACCTTTTAGAAGTGAAATTCTTTTAGCTCAAATTACATTGGAATTCCCTCGGCCTAGAGTAGGTGATTCAAAATCTGCAGTCTATTAACTTTGTAAATTATTTTGGTATGAGTTTTCGAAGCTACGTACTTTGTTTTAGCTAATTAATTTAAGTTAACTGTAAAAATGTATAGAAAACTAAATCATTTTGAGAGTGACTATGCCCACAGTATTGAATGTGTTACCATTAAAAAAAAATGACGAAACATTGTTACTTGAAAATTGTAACTAGTCTATCACATTCTTAAGTAACGCTGTTGAGTCGCTGTTGTTGTAATTATGTAGATGGAAAGTATATATATTTAAGCGAATAAATACAATACTATTTATGTAAATAGACTATTTGGGGTGTAGGTATGATTTTTTTGGAGGGAGCTTATCCCAAATCCTGTAAATAATGAGTTATTTCGAATAAAGCGCAGCTTTGGATTCAGTAGTGGCGTGATAATTTAAGCTGTATATTTGCCATGGAGAAAGCGAATCAATATATTTATTTGTATATAAATTGAATAAACCAAAACAGGTAGGTAATTTACTTTTTTAAAGTAACTTTTTCTCATCAAATTTATTTTTTTTTACAATTAACTCAAGTCTTAAATTAATTGAAATGAAAAGCACACAGAAAGGCACATTTTTCCTAAAACAAGAAAATTCATTTGGATGCAGAAAAAATTGTTCAAGTACTTTAAACTAGCAACGGAACGCTCAGAAATTAGGAAACTGTCTAACAAGAGACGCATTCAGTGTATTCCTTACCAAAACCCTACTAAACACCGACAAAAATATAGGCACGAAATGGCCGCCCGTTCTGATTATACTGAGGGGTTTCATTCATAACATTCAACAAAAATTGTTGAAATGTTAATAACGTTTTTAAAAAAATTGCAGGTTAGGTTTCTAACCAATTTCTGTAAGGTCTATAACGTTTTTTTTACTGACAATTGCTCATTTTCAATAACTTGTCGAATTTGGCGAGTTTCGATGAATATCGACGTTTGCGGGCCATCCCCTAAAGCTAAATGCTCAACCTAAAAAAATATTTTTTAAGTCGCTAATTGGCTTCTTCCTATATTTGAAATGTACTTTTCCATTAAGTTGAAAGATGTATCAAAAATTATAATATAATTTAGTGGGAATTTCTGCAATTTATCTTTAAAAATGAAATGTGTGTGGTGGTAAAGCATTTTGCATGCTCTCACTCACTGTGATCGCTGTAATTGATGTTGCAAAAATATTATGAACTTCTTTTTTGTCGAGTTTCCAAATATAGCTCACAACAGTGGAATATTTGATCAAATTTTAGGATTTCTAAAGTTCCTGCCATTGCGGATTATTGAAAGCAGAATTCTGAGCAAACAGGGCCAAGTAAAGAAAGGATGAATTTTCGGTTAACTGGCAAAACGCAAATACTTTATTTCTCTTCAAGGCGGAATTTTGGAAAACTCAGAACGTTCAATGCAGTATTTAAATCCACTGTAGTTTTCATAGTTAATCACTTTTTCCCACCGAGCTCCCAAATGCCCACACACGTACATTGAACAATCGACAACTACAGCGCTTATTGCTACCGTAAAAACTTAATTATGAGATGAGAGAATGAGGCGATCAGAAGCCAAATGTAACTGTTATATGCCTCAAGTTATGGCGAACTGAGCCGAGGCTCTGACGTCACGAATAGGCCGAGCCGGTTAGATACCACAGAAATAGAGTACGCCAGCTCTCACTCCTTCGCACAGCGAAATTATCCTCGTGACGTCAGAGAAGTCGGTCCTGGACTTGCCATTTATGCTACATAAGTAGAATGTAAATAATTATTGCAATATGACCAAACCCTTAATGACAATCTCCAAAAAGTTGCTTTGGTTTAAAAGGCTGTAAAAATGGTAGACAACTTTAGCAGATACAAATATGGTTTACATGCACAGTTGATGACTTCAGCAGTTCAACTTTAGCTCAAACTTTTTCAACTATAAATGAAAACATTCAACAGGTTCTGAATCCGTTAGATGCGATTTGCCACAAGCCCAGAGAAGACGCCATTTGCGTCAGTCAACTGCGAAATGCGAAAAAAGTTGACGAAGCCATCCTGCAAGAGCGTCCCGATGTGAAAATATTCCTTCCGTTCAGATTTTTGTTCTGGAAGCCCCAAGACTTGTTCAGACCCAATACGTACAACAGATTCTTGGGTAGGATTTTGCTTTAAACGTGCTTATTTCGAACGAGGAACATTAAGTGTTGCAGCTGCCACTGGCGGTGACCACGTTATCAGCTTGATCGACGAAATCTCCTTCAGATTTCCTCCATCTCCTCCACTGTCTCAAATTGACGATCTTCCTCAGGAGCTGTTTTGCAATGGAGACAACCGACCAGCCGATTGTGGACCAAATTGCGAATGTGTGCATCAGGTTGATATCCCACTGAATGCCATTGTAGAAGTGGTTTTGGTAGATGAAGGTAAAAATTTACCTGAGCTTCGAGTTCTTTTCGTTCAAGTTCAATCTTCTTCAGTTCAGTCCCCAAATCTAAGTCATCCATTCCATTTGCATGGCTACTCGTTTAATGTGGTGGGAATTGGAAGGTCTCCCGATCAGAATGTGAAGAAAATCAACTTGAAACATGCTCTGGACCTAGATAGGCGAGGACTTTTGCATAGAGAGTTCAACTTGCCACCATCCAAAGACACTATAGCTGTGCCAAATAACGGATATGTTATTTTTAGATTTAGGGCCGATAATCCAGGTGGGAAAATTTGGTTGGTGTCAACCGCAGCTGCTTTGATCTGGAAACTTGATTTCTTCCAGGTTACTGGATTTTCCACTGTCATTTCCTGTTCCACATAGTAATTGGAATGGATCTTCTATTCCACGTCGGCACCCAGCATGATTTGCCTCCAGTTCCGCCCAATTTTCCCAAATGTGGGCATCATTTGCCACCCATCACGTTTGATAGCGGGTACCACTGAAGAAAGTTTTTGTTTTGGGACTGAGAATTCTAGATGGGACGCCTTCAGAATATAAAATCAAGGCGACTTTTTTAACATCGGTTGGATCAGCAGGATTTAACACAGGGTATTTTAATTTTAGTTGCTCTCCTTTATAAGGGCAGTAGTAAATTTACCTTATACATGACACACATTAGCAAACAGCAACTGTAAAGAGGTAATACTTTGTTGATTATGTAAGAAGTTATTGGAAAATTGTTGAACATTTTTTAAGAGCACGCGTATTTTACTTGTTGAATTATTTCCAAATTTTCTGCAGTTCACATTTTCAGTTTCTGCTGTTCACATTAAAATGAAGTTTTGAACCGTAAATTGCGGTAAATTAAATTAAAATACATGCAATTTTATGACAACATCCTACTTTACCATATCCGTATATCTTGCTATGAGGGTTAGTATGTCCAGCAGGTTTTCGCTAAAATTTATTAAAACGGGTCCCTACTGTTTTCCCTAGGAGCAACCTCATGTACTGATCCTCAGGGCATCCTGATGTGTACATATTAGTCAATACTGTAGCCATAAGTAGGATAAGTTTTCTTGTGGCCTGTACATTTCAACGATTTTATTTTCTATAAAACATTAAATAAATTTATGGTTAAATCAACGGTGTTTTAGAGCTAGATCTCCCACGGACACAAATAATGGAAGGGCGAAAGCACGTATAATAATTATCTTTAAATTAATTAAAGGAAAAGTTCATTCTATTTCTCAGTAAATTAGGCGCCCACGTGGTTGAAGGAACGCCAAACAACGATCTTGAAATCTTTTCGCACTTCAAGTCGCACGAATTTCCGCACTTTCGGATAGAAAGGATAGAAATGTGGGCTTTAAGAGTTTACTGTTAGGTGTTTGATCCATTTCTGACTCTTTTCTAAACTAGGTAAAAATATACCTAAGTAGTTTCTTCTTAGATGTTGGAAAAATTAGTGGGCTTTTAGAAAAGTGACCTTTTGAAGTCAAAGAAACAATCACCCGGCCCTTTTTTCAAGATTTGTTTTGGCCGCTGCTAACAGAAAATATGTGGACTATGGAAAATAATATTTAAATGAAACGCTTTAGTTACATTGACCACTTTATTTTTAGAACATTCCCGGAAATATCCGGCTGTATTTGAGGAGGTGCCAAACAAAACCCCACAAGTCACACAATTTGTGCATTGTTAACATGAGTTAATGGCTCATCCTTAATGTTATCGATTTTGAAGTTGAAGCAGAGTCCCACAAATCCCTGTAAAACATAATTGGAAAAATTCATGTTCCAATTAAAATCACACGTATGCATAATTATGTCTGATTTGCCGACAATCTCACAAGTCCATTGAAGGTAATAGCGTTTAAATAGTTTTCAGCATTCAAACTCCACAAGTTTGAAGAAATTATTCAAAACCCCACATGTCTACACTTTTAATGCGATTTATATTACTGTATGATTCCAATAACGTGTGCCAGATTTTAGGCGAAGTGTAAACGGCTATATGAAAAGTACAGGACAAATTGAAAATTATACTATAAAATACTTTTTCGACATTTGCGAAATTATCGATTTCGCGAACTTCTGGGGTTTTCTCCGCCACCTCCTCATTTTATTGTCATTCAATCACCTCAATTTATTGTCTTCAGTTGCAGAAGTAACACACATTTATTATTAAACTATTTGGGAAATTTGTTTTATTTTGGAAATTTATGTTTCATTAATTCTACATCCACCTTCTCTCAAAGTGGCATATAAAATAGCTATAAGTGATTTCAGCTAAAAGAACCCCAACTGAAAAAAGCAAGCCGAAAAACCAAAAAACGAAAATCTGCTTTAAGTCGTTAAAAGCAAGTATTTCGCTGCGTAAAGCGGACTTTTTGTGAACATATAAATCCACCCTATATTTGATTTTTGCAAATTCGTTGGGAAACCATCCGTTTGATAAGCTGCGTAGGATTATTTGGCTTGATTGAGGAAACAGAGGATGGCCCTTGGTAAAAAGAAGCTGAACGTAAAAATAATAAACTGCGGCTTCGGATAAGTGGACCAAGATTTTACCATCTCTCATATAGTATTTTGGTATAGTGTAGAATGATAAAATACCATGTCCTCCCACTGTAATGGCATTTTGCTGAAATGCGGTTTTATTAAAGCATGTCATGTGGTTATTAAAGCATTTGTGCACGTTCCCAAGCTCAGAGCTTGGGTCCATAAACGGCTTTAAATCAAACATCGATTGTATGGGCAATTTGGAGTTAATAATATCTTCGAGCGTATCTAGAGGTTCCATGTCCATGGAAGTAGCCGTTATAATTAACATGGCATTTTTAAACAAGTTGGAAATAATCGTAAAATAGATCAACCAGGCTGTAAAAAGGGTTTTTTCAGACACGCGGCTCGTATGCAACCGAATCGGAGCTCCAACCAGGATTTGCAATAAAGCAAAGCATTTATCTTGTAAACCTATTTGGTAAAACAACTTTGATATTGTCGAAGAAATAATCGTTGCCACTAACAGAAGCATCCAGAACCTTTGCGGAACCACTCTGTATAACCTCTTCCAGACTGACATTGGTAGGGGTCTCGGAGTGACGAAACGCATAGAATCGTAGAAATACGAGGGCGTTATATCAAAGCGTACAACATCGCTTGAAATAGTTGTAATGTGTCCTCCAAATATATCGGCCCGATAACTTTCCAGTTCTTTTTTCTGTTTCAGGTATGGGACTGTAGTTGTCTTAAACAAAGTAAAAAATCGGGTTTAAAATCGCATTCAACTAGCACCTATCTAAAAACAGTTTTAATGGTTCAGATGGTAAAAGTTCCTAATTGCAGAAATTCACAACTTCTTGTTTGCTTTTCTGTCACTATCTATTGCCCGATCGACCCAAAAACGGCCCCGGTCACCAAGAATCTTCAACATATCTACAAGTCAAGGTCTCAGTCGTCATTTGACCATTCCATGATTTTTATTATTATTTTGCATAAGGTACAACCGTTTACTTTCTTTTGGTTTACGACCTTCGAGAGAATGGGCTTATAGAAGAGAAGGCATAATCCTCTTAATTATTACCTGGACGTAAAAGTCGTCGTCCTGTCTAAAAAAAATGCCCGGTCTTGGCCTAAAGTGCTTTTAAGATAATGATTTCTTGATTGAATAGAGATGAATGTTGAATAGTCTGTCTAAAGGATTCCGTTTGGCCAGTGGCAATAAACAAACTCCCCAGGTCCCAACCTTTGTCTCTCTCCTCGACAGATGTAAGCCCCTTGCAGAATGAAACCATATAACAACACCACCATGCACCTGTGCAGTACCTACTCGTAGGTTTCTTTCATCTCAGAGAAGACAGGACTTATCAACTCATTTGGCAACAAGTTGATAAGTACAAACCATAAATCAAACCCCCAAGCTTGGTTTCACTAAATTCTATAAACCAGATACACTGACATCTTGGATTGATGAATATGCGAACTACTAATGTATGGGACTTAGAAATTTGGGGTTTCATTCGCATAAGGCCCACACATTCCGCAACCTTGAATGTGTGGGCCTTATTTCATTTATAAGTTGGTAAAGGACAAAGAAAATCTGTAACCAGTAACAATTAATTGTAGTCTGCTATACCAGTTCTAGAGTACTTCTAAGCACGACCACCCAAAGTGACTACATTTTTATTACATAAAGCATTAAGAAGAAGAATTTGGCAATTTTCAATTCTGACGAATTAAAAAGTATCTATATTTGACACTTTATATAACAAACTATACACACGTTGAAGCAAATAACTAATGCTACCACAATCATTTCAGTATTATGGTTTTATTTTCTAATAATCTTACCCCGAACTGGAGATATTTTATGGAAGCATTAACCTTCAAGTATTTTTTAAATAGTTTTATGCAATTCTCTTCCATTCCGTCGTTGTTGCCTGTGACATAAGGAGCGGTTACTCTAAACAACACGTTAATCGTCGTATTTTCCCATGATTTTGCTTTCTGGCCTATTGAATTCAGGTTTATTTCTTGCGTGCTGTTGCACAAACCAATATTTATCGGCGCCAAGTCGGGATTATTCACATTTCCATATTTATACGGAAAGTAGGAAAATATTTGCCCATCTTTATCCAGAAGAAGCACTTTGTCCACGTAACGTCTGGCCAAGAAATACAAGTTGAACTCCTTAATGCTGTTAATGAAAATTACAAATAAAGCAGTCGGATTAAACATATAGTTGGCAACCAGGTGGTTGACGCAATCCTCAGATGATACATGGCGCAAATCCAAAATATAGAGGTTGATTTTAGGGCACAGATTCAACAGACAGTTAACTTCCGATGTATTCTCAACAGTCATCCAGGGCAGATTTCCGTTCAGATTTTGAACGAAATTCGTTACTACAAATTTCTTAGATATTTCCAAAAAATATTTTCTGTCGATGGTTTTCAGGCACTTTAAAACTGAGTCGGTTCCAAAGTCAGTTTGGTTGAGTGATAATAATTTACAATTGCATACTAAACCTACAGACAAAGCGGTATATAATTTAACAAAATACATTTCACCATGTGCAGTGAACAAAATAAACTAATGGAGTGAACATTACTTGATATTTCGTGGGCTTTATTTAGGCATTTATTACGGCCATTTCACACAGCACTGTGGTTTGGTTAATGTACGCCTATTGCTTGTCCATCTAATTTAGGGGGCAATTTTTCATATTTGTGCTACGAGGGCACGACCCGTATAGAAACAGAGAAATTAATTTTTTTTCTGAAATAGAGCTGAGTATTTTTCCATGTTGCCCCAGCCCATCCAGCTCAAGTAATAGACATTGATTTCAAGCCTAATATTGACTGGCTTATTTCTAGATGAGCAAACAGGTCGTTATAATATTGCGAGTGTTTGGAAACAATTAATTTGAGCAACTTTCAATGTTAAGTTTGTGCCTGAGGTGGTCATTAGACCGGCTGCTATCATGCAATTTGCAACCA